CTGCCTACTTTCAATATGTTTTATCAGTTCCACCCAGCCACTGACTACTCTCTCTTTTTTAATTGACAGTAACTGCTGCCTAGAAGGTGTAAAATGCAGTCACAGTAGCAAATGCGTTGCAAGCACTAGGCTATTTTCCTTAATCAGCAGCCTGGCCTCTTCCCCCTCTTTCCTTTTTCTTTTTAAAACAAAAGCACAGGCAAAACTCCATCAACATGGAATGCCTGTCTTCTGGTGCCTTTCATGCCAACACACTCACATAGCTCTTGTTCATGAGACATCAAGTATTCAGTGACTTTCATCAGTTTTCAACTCAAAAAACTGGTCTCCTATTGTGTATAGGTTACACTTTTAAGAAATCTGTTAGCTGTGGTATGGCATAGTGACAGAGAATGAATAATCCAGAATGGCCCAGCATGACATTAAATGGTGATAGTATGTTACAGCGCCCTAGCTGTTTTAGAATGGTGGCATTGTGTTTTGTTCTTAATTATCTTTTCTTTAAAAAAGGAAATCCCTTAGAAAATGGTGGAAGCCTGGTTTACTTTTCCAAGGCACTGCACTCCTGCCATGCTTTTGAGGGCTGAAGCACATTTCTCTCTTCATTTTACAAAATGAAGCCATAAATACAGGTTGCAGTTATTTGCTATAACAGAATTATTGCCCAAGTTATGAGTTACCCTCCACACACTGTACAAAGCTAGAATATAATTATTATTATTTACAGCTGTTTTTATAGCAGAGTTATCAGGGCAGCTGCTAGCAAGAGATGTTATGTTGCTGGCAATGTCTGGCACTTGCACAAGTGTAGGGATTTTAAAAATAAAGTGTATGGGCAGGATGCAGCTAAAAGCAAATCATTTTAAAATCCCATTGATTTAGGTAGACCTTTTGAGTTCTTAGCTTTGGGCTAACCTACATATTGTGCTAACTGCATGAATGAATATGGTCCTTTTAATAGCACAATTATAGCCCCTCCTCCCTAATATGCCTCTGCGTGGTCCACCCTGCTGAAACTAGACACATGTCTGGGTGCAGCATGTGAAACTAAGAGATGCTCTGGCCAGTATTCAAGGACTGCCTGACATGATATGGAGAAACACCACACAGCACAACCTGCTTCAGTTTTAAAGTTCAAATTGCAGCCAAGGGAGGTACGCTCCTGTGGCAGTCAGGAAAATGAAAATCACCTCTCTGCCTCTATCCGAAAGCTATTAGCTCTGGGATGTCAATGAATGTGATACAGGGAAAGGGTTAACCCAATTCATCACACATCATAATAACAGTCTAGGCCCCTTCCTGCTAGCACTATTCAATAAAGACTAAAGAATTTTAAAAGCCACTTAATTAACGTTATTTTATATCACAACATCTTTATATACACACACTGTTTAAAATTATTAGCAGGTACAATTGTGTAATTAATTTGCAGGTACAAGCCACTTCAACATGTTGCTTCTGATGAGAATAGGAACCTTTGTTGTGATGGGTGAGTGTACACAAATACCTCTTTTTACTTGGCAAAGGGAAACTGAAATGAAATCTCTGACTTTTCTTGCCTTTTCCATGCTTAATGCAAGAAAAGCCTTGCCAGGTCAGACTGAAAATCTATCCAGCCCCGTGTTATGTTTCCCATAGCAGCCAACCAGTCTGAATAGGTCAGACGCAAGGCACCAGAACCATCACTGTTTGTCCCCATTCCAAGCAATGCGTAATCAGTGACACTTGGCTTATGAAAATGAAATCGCAGAGCTGGAAGTATCACGAGAGTATCATTCCACTCAGGACGGGCAGCTGAGAGACCTAATGCCGAGGGAGGAAAGAACGAGGCAATCATCAAGACCATCAATATCTGGCAGAGCGCCTTCTTCCACCCAGTTCTGCCAGAGTCACTCATTCCACTCAGGACGGGCAGCTGAGAGGCCTAATGCCGAGGGAGGAAAGAACGAGGCACAGGGCCTTCTCAGCAGTGGTCCCTCGCGTTTGGAACAACTTGCCCATGGAGATCCACTTGGCTCCCTCTCTGGGTGTTTTCAGGAATAGACTTAAAACCTGGCTATCTGGGCAGGCTTTCCCTCCTGCCATATCTTAATTTCTTATACTTTCGCCACCTTGGATCTATAATATGTTTTTTGTTTTGTTTTATTGTTTTTAAATTTGTAAACCGCCCAGAGTAGACCTTTGGTCTAGATGGGCGGGATAGAAATCCAATAAATAAATAAAAATAAATAAAAAGACCGCTGCTTTGTGGAAGGCAGGCCCTGCAAAGGATGATGCAGCTGCAGCATCCCTGGCAGATGCCGACCTTTTCTGCTTAGACAGCTGCAGTGAAAGACAGCCCACCACTTCCCAAGGCAGTCTGATCCAGTGCCAGACTGTTCACATCATTTGGAAGCTTCTTCCTCTCTTCCTCTGTGGCTCGACAGGCTGCAAAGGAAGAGATGGATCCTTCTTCCCAGAAGTCTGAACCATTCAGTCCAGACAGCTGCTGAAACTAATGGCAGATGGGTTGCAGTTCTAGGGCCACAGCCTGCCTCCCTTTGCTTTGCAACCAGCATAATTTTTAATACACCTCCCTTGCTTGATGCACCAGGATAGAATGTCAATTGCCTTGTACCAAAATTCATCTCCTTATGTAAGTTGTTTTAAACTTGACAGACAGCAGAGGAAAACTTGGGAAAGTTCTTCCTCTTCCCACTTGGCCATGCTGACTAAGGAATCCTGAGAGTGGCAATCTATTTTCCAAGCTCCACACTATAAATATTAGCCAACACCATGAGAACGCTTTCCATGCACCCATTCATATCCCCTCATTCATCAGGCTTATATTTGCATGTTCAGTGATTGGTACTGCCAGACTATGGATAAGTTCATAAAGAGGTGGTTCAGTGATTATATAAATGATAAGAGAGACCTCCTACACACGCTTGCACAGAAGTAAGCCTACAGAGTGCATTAAAGCTTATTTCGCTTTACATGGACTGCAGTCTGACACTGGGACCCTATGGCTGCTTACCTGGAAGAAAGTACCATTAAACTCAGTGGTACTTAATTCAAAGTTGGCAGGCATAGAATCTGAGTGCATTAAAGCTTATTTCACTTTACATGGACTGCAGTCTGAGACTGCTTACCTGGAAGTAAGTACCATTAAACTCAGTGGGACTTAATTCAAAGTTGGCAGGCATAGAATCATGTTATCAATATCCTACTATTTTATTAACTGAATGGATTTGATTTAGCAGTATTAATATTTCTTAGTGTAGATGTTTGTTGTTCTGCTGCCTCTGTATATAGCCCCAGGTTCTGAACTTTTCCAAAGAATGTATAGATGTCTTTTCTGCTCACAGGTCATTTGGTATAATGAGCTGCTAAACCATGGAAAAGTCCAAGCTTCTTTCATTCTGTACACTAAGCACAGAGAGTATCCTCAAAGACAAGAAAAGTAGGATCAAAATTATTGCAAGAGCAGCAGTCTTTTCCTGCCTTTTAGATACAGTTCATTACTCTTTCTCCACAAGGCACATTCCCAATACACCGATATTTCCCCGTCCTTCTCCTAATCAAACCAATACCTACAACTTGTTCCTATGTGTACGCTCACCTGCCACATTCCATAAGCCTTACTTCCAAGGAAACTTATACACATCACAATCCTTGAAGTTCAGCAACACACTCTCCTACATGCACTTATTTAGCAGAGGGTTATATCATAGCGGTTGGAACTGCAATCCTGTACATGCCGATGTGGAAGCAGCAAATACTAATCAAACACATGGCAGACTTCCTCTTGAGTAAACACCTGGCTCTGATCCAAAGTGCAACTCTCAGAAAGGAAAATGGTCCTTTGCTGCCTGGTATGCTGCAGGTACTCCTGCAGCCAAGGTGTACTGCACAATGCCAATCAAGATATTTGGACAGAAAAACACACCAGTGCGTCCTCCTTTCACTGGTAGTAAAAACTATTATGCAAAAAAAAAAACAAACTATGGCAACTATGAAGCCTAACATGATTTGTCTGACTCTACCCACTGGCCAGGGCCAGCCCTACTATTAGGTAAAGTGCCAGATGTTGGGAGGCAGTAGCAAAGAGCTGAAGCCAACTCTATGTCACCCAAAATGTCCTGCTGCCTTCATGTGTGCTGGAGGGAGTTATCTTCTCACTAGTATTAAGAAAAATATATATAGCCGCTCCAGTGGGCTTGGCAAATGGAAAGGGAATGGGGCTGTTGTCTTAGTCTGTACGTTTCAGGTACCAAAATGTTTTGGATCTCCCCAAATATCCAGCAGCCAGTCAAGAAGGGAAGCTTTATCTTAATCTGTGGTGCGCTAAAGTCAGGGCTTTCAAGGTCAAAGCACTCCCACAGAGGTTCTGATTAGCAAAGACTATTGATTGATTCATTGAACATGTATACCACCCCATAGTGTATAACACTCTCTGGGTGGCTTGCAACAGTAAATTCAGTCAGATGACATCCAATACAATGCAAACATACAATTCATATCAACCTTTATCAATTTATGTCAACTGTGACATTGCCCAGTCCCCCTCCTTTTCGTTTTCCCTCAGAGTTTGGCAGCGAACCATATAGAAACTGAACCAGGAATAGATTTTCCCCAGGTGCGCTGTTGCTACTGATCCCTTTTGTAATGTGAGGTGCTGGAGCATAGCTTTATCTTGAATGGACAATTAAGAGCCATTCGCTTTACAGAACACCTGTTCCTCATCCCCGATACGGCCTGATCCAGCTGCCTGCTACTTTGGACCCTCCTTAGGGGAAAGGGATAGCTATGGGAACTATCATGATGAGCACCTGCACTTACAAAATTACCATTATTCCTACCATCTCTGAATCCAGCTTGTGGGTCTCCCTTCCCATCGCTGCTGCCCGCTTTCTGCCGCCCATCTAACCCGCCTGTCCGTCAAACGGGCCGGCTCTGAAACGGGCAGGGGGCGCGCCTTACCTACCCTCCCCCCCTCCCCCCCCCCCCGCGCCACCTACCAGCCTGGCCAGGATCCTGTGACTCTGCTCGTCGGTGCAGCGCCCTGATAAGAAGCCGCCTCCGTCGTGCGCCAGGAGGAAGACGAAGAGGCCCCCTACCGCCCAGCAAGCCGAGAAGAGGAGGCAGCGAGCGAGGGAGCATCGCCGGGAGCCCCGCCTCATTCTCCTCAAGCCGGGCATCCCTCCCGAGCGCGGC